CCCCCCCGCTCACGTTGGACCAGGCCACCAGCTGCTGTCACTCCACACCATGTCCTTTAGCCCTTTTAATCAAAGTTCTACTTTGAACTTGAAACCAGCAGTCAATTCCCTTGTGCCTGGTGTCTGGGGGAAGGGTCAGCTGCTGGCGTGAGGTTTAAGTCTGTTGCTGCCCTTTGCTTTCTTGGGGCTTTGCCGAGCCGCTGCTGGTCCTTGTGGGAACTAGGAGGGCGGGGAGGCCCAGGCCCTGCCCTCAGGGAGCCTCCAGAACTGCCCCAGAGGCTCAGCCCATCAGCCAACAGGTCTCATAGCTCTGATGACACGCCCCCTCCTCTGGGAGAAGAGGTGGGGCTTGTAGCATGTCAGTGCTGGCCAGTACCTTAGCAATTTCTGACCTTGCCCTTTGTTGTCCCATGCGGAAGCTGAGGCCCAGATATGGGAAGGGGCTCGGCCAGGCCCAGCCAGTGTGTTACTAAGGGCTCCCTGGAGGGAAGGGGGCCCTAGTGGGGTTGCCACACTTTCCCCAGCTCAGGCGGCTGCAAGCTGCCCGGGGTGAGTGGGGGAGTGGGTGAAGGTTTGTGCCTGTGAGACTGGAGCACCGAAGAGGAAAAATGCAGCAGAACACCCAAGTGTGGTTGCCAGGCTCGTGACCTGGATTTTATTTTAGCAGCTGTTCAAACAACTGGTCCCCGGGGCCTGTGACCTCTGGAAGGGGCGGGGGTGGGGAAGAAAGGAGATTACCTGGGGGTCTGCCTGGTCCAGGACAGCTGGGAGGACAGCTGAGTAGGCAGCTTCTTGCCAAGAATAGCCATGCTGGGTCCCCCTCGACCTGGACCCTTCTCTATGCTCTCTGCACAGACAACAGGTAGGGCAGGGTCTCACCTGAGCCACAGCCATTCCGTTAAGCAGACATCACAGAGCCCCTCAGCACGAGGAAGTGTTCTGGAAACGGATATGGGAAGGGCACTGACACCTGCTAGACACCTCCTATGCCTGCCTTACAGGGAGGCTCTGAGCCAGACCAGGTGGGCCTGGCTCCTGCCTGGGTGACTTTGGGCAAGTTCTATAACCTCTGTTTCCTAACCTGCAAGATAAGAATATAATATAGAAAAAGTACCCAGTCCAGGGCTTCCCTGGTGGTGCAGTGGTTGAGAATCCGCCTGCCAATGCAAGGGACATGGGTTTGAGCCCTGACCCGGGAATATCCCACTTGCCGCAGAACAGCTAAGCCCGTGCGCCACAACTGCTGAGCCTGAGCTCTAGAGCCCGCGAGCCACAACTACTGAGCCCATGTGCCACAACTACTGAAGCCTGCATGCCCAGAGCCCGTGCTCTGCAACAAAAGAAGCCACGACAATGAGAAGCCCGTGCTCCGCAATGAAGAGTAGCCGCCGCTCGCTGCAACTAGAAAAAGCCCGTGCATAGCAACAAAGACCCAACACAGCCAAACAAATTAAAAAATAAAAAGTAAATTTATATATATATAAAAAAAGTCCCCAGTCCATTGAGGGCACGTAGTCTCACTTCATGAATGGTAGCTGCTGTTTTAACGATGATAACCTTGACCCCTCGTTGTTAGCAGGACCCATGGGCTGCTTGGGCAGTGTTATGAGGGACCTGGAACACCATCTAACTTGTGGCTTCCTTCCACTATGGCTGCTTTTCGGAGCAGGTTTTTTTTTTAAGGAAGGGGCCCACCTGACCTAGTGGGGTTCCCAGGCCCCGTACTGCTGTGATCCCAGCAGAAGCTCCTTGTAACAGGATTGTCCTAGATGAGAACCAGGGACCCGGAGCTCAGCCCAGGCACAGGGAACAGCAGGA